ATAATTTTATATAACTTATGTATATATCACTAAGCACAGTTGTGCTTATTATGTAGGGATGGGCCAGGAAATAAATGGCTGTTGCATATTATGTATTGCTCATCATAGTCTCGAATCTCTCTTATAAAAGCATAAGAGACTTTTATAAACAACTGATTTAGGTTTTTGAGGTTTTCAAAAGCTATTATGACCTTCAGTTTAGCCAAAAAACATTGCTCAAGTAGAGAACTGGGGAGAAGAGTAACAGCCAAATGTTTTGCTGATTATTCTGATTCTGGCATCAGAAGAGCTAGCTCATCAATGCTTGAAATTGTTGCAATGTCTTACACACCAAAATGTTACATTTCAACTCGGGGAGTGCAGAAATAATGTAGTGTTTCACTAACTTCAACACATGATGTCCATCAAGACAACTCATCACACAAGGCTAAAACTGCTGCCTTCATAGCAACTGCCATTCATTAAAAAAAAGGGGAAAAATAATAGAAAAAAATAGGGATGATGTAAGGTAAGGATGGCAATGCCAGAAAGTACAGAAATAAGGTAGGGACAAATAACAAAACTACTTAAGTAGCCACTGCGTCAATGTTACAAGCATATGGGGATTATCCATTGTAAGACTTTATAGCACTATTCAGTTTAAATGCTTTTATTCAAACTTGAATTCATGCAAATGACAGGAATTCAACATTTAGTTGTAGATAAAAGCTTTTAATGTAGTGATTTTTGTATGGTTTTGTGTATTCATCCCTACCTTGTTTCTGTACATTTGGCATTGCCATCCCTACATCATCCTTTTTTCTTTTTTTTACAAAAATTCTTTTACTACTTTTATATTTTATTACAGACTTTTATCCCTGTATTACTTGACTTTCTGTGTTATATCAGACTGTTAGGCTTCACTGACTCATTAATGATGGTGTGAAAAGTGATGCTTAAAATATTATTTTGGGCAAAGTTGAACTTGAAAATGCATTGAACCTATACAGTAAAAAGTATAGTTAGTATAGGATAAAGCTATTAAAACCCAACTGATAAACTGGTTTTATGTGACTATTATCATGTGCAATCAATCCAATTGCAAAAATATATGTTTCCCCTTCAATGTCCTTAATCAAAAACATAATGAGTTTTCTGTCATTTATATCCGTAGTGTTTTAAATCAATTTTGTTGAAACTGGCTGGTAAAATTTTTATTGAAAGTAAAAACAATTTCCTTTTACTTTTAATTACTTCATTTGAAAGCAAGTAGACCTATATTGTAATACATAAATCTTCTCAAAAAATGATGCAGGATGAAGATTATGCACAGCAAGAATCTACAAAACTACTGTATTTACTTATGAACACTGAATGAGCAAAAAAGGCTGGGTGACTTTTATTGTATTTTAATAATATTTAGTTTGTTATTAGTTATGGTTTTAAAATTTGTGACAGATATGATAATTTCCTGACATACTGATACAGTTCTAGGTAATGTTTTTAAATCTTAAAATTGTTGATTACTTTAAAGGAGGTTTGACATAGCATGAAGAGTGTGGCTTAACATCTAAATGTAAATCTCAAGGTATCAAGGCATTGCCTACACTTATTCAACTAAATATTAAATATTTTTTAATATGTCAAATATTTTTATATGTTCCTTAAAATGATAAACATATCATTACAACCCTTACACTGATTTTTATAATGAGGATTAACTATACTCTGTCTTCAGTATGGTTTGAGTGATACATGAAATCCTACCAGTGAACTGTTATGAAAATTGTGGTGTTCTTTTTAAGTATAGTAAAATATATTTTACATCATGAAAACATCTGTGTTATTGTCAGTTGTATAATTCATGGCAATTTTTCAACATATGGCTGAAAATATTGAGAATAGCAAGGTATGTGCCCAACTGATAAATATGTCTACTCTAATCATTACAAGTTTTTGTTTTTTGTGATTTATTTTAGTTAAGACTGATATATTGAATTGGGTAAGTTATTTTTTTCAGTTCTGATCTATGTAGGTAGCAACTTTGATCAGAAGTTATTGATAATTTTTGATCACATCATAAATATTAAGTCATTTTTGTTTAGACCAATTTTGTGATATATATATATTGAAATAACAGTAAAGTTTTATAAGTATTTGTTCATATATTTTTAACAAATTCTTTAGAGCTTGAAGATCTGTTGTATCTCGGTAAATTGTTGATAAGAGTATGTTTTTTGCCTTTTTTTTGTTATTATATAAAAAGTAATTACCAACATAGGTATTTGTACTACTTCTATGAATGATATCTGTCACTTTTCTACAAATGTGTAGTATATATTCCCATGGAAATAAAATAATGACACATCTAGCTTCTAACCTCCTTTATCTCCAGGAGTACTGATATTGTAGAAAGAAAGGTACAATTATGAGTACTGAGACACTTCACAATAGTGATATTGCTCCTCTGAACCCATATTTCTAGGTGTCAAATATCTAAATTGTTGTTTTCTTACAATAATGAGTGCCTCTTATCTAAATTTACAGGAATTTTTTAAAGTTACAAATAGTATTTGCAAGAAATTTTATGCAATAAGGAAAACCGTATATAATTGGTGACCAAAGATGGAATAGATCATATGTACAGTAAGTTGTAAAAGGTTTGTCATTTATAATGTGAAAGTAAAATATGAGTGTATATATACAGTATAGTTTGGTTATTGTGTAAACATATATAAGACAGATAATAAAATGTTCTATTCACTAAATCGATCCTTTCTTTCATGATGTTAGAAAAACATGTAGGTTCAAGAAGTCTTGATAGAAATGAATAAAAACCCT